AATAGGGTCATCTCCATGGATCAGCGGTGGAATTCCACCGGGAAGATTAAAGCGCGTGAAACAACGCGCACTCACGTTATTCCTACGGCACTTTCAGGTTGTAGATGGCGTCACACCTCGGTACTCAGTAGCATTGATCTCCATTATGATGGGGATCAATGCTCAGTAGTCACAACTACGCCTCATGTATATTGTAGTGCGTCAGTGGCCGGTTTCGCCTCGCATCCGGGAAGTGGAACCGATACTAGTCTGGTTCCCTTACCAAATATTCTCTGAGGGTATTTTTTACCAAATCATTGGATTTCTGCGCGCGAGTTCATTAATATTTCGTGATCCCACAGGGTTTTTACAATAATACACACCACAATCAAAAGGGATCACAGAGATCTTTCTGTAAATCACGAATTTGGGACTGGTAGTTTCCACTTCGGGGTATTTCTTTCACAAAAAGCCACATGTGGGCGTATTTTGGCTACATTCAGAGCTGAGCGCATAGATTTTCTATTTGGGGGTATCTTCAGGGATAGGCGAATAAAAAAAATCACGTGGCTAACCCCAATAAAATTGCAATGAAAAGTGAACTTCTGGCCAAAATCTAGAAATTTCTAGTGCGTAACTGGAGGCCAACCTCTTCCCGAGAGTCTACAGGCGGCGCTATTTCGGTCCGATTTTGCACTGTCTTCTATGGGCGTGCATTTGTTGTAGTGCAAATCTGACGAACTTTGATATATCTGAGTTCAGGTATCACCCACGAATATAAATAGATCATGACACAACAAGTCAAGGGTCACATGGAAAGTCCTGCGTGGATCCTATGTTTAGATGAACGGGCAGACCATGAATGTTGGCGGTTACTTTAATATGAAAGAAACTCCAAACGTGGGTAGGAAGGGAGCAACATTGTTTTGCACGTGGGTAACAAAATAAAAAAAATCTCATTGTGTGTACGGACACGGCCAAAAATAACCGAATGTCAGCGTTACGCCTATCCAAATGTGGACGGGATGAGTTCGGAATATTTGGCTATTTTCAGAAACGAGAGGAATAGTCGGAATCATGGGGTCTTGCACCCAGACTAAACCCATACGCACCCGGGTGACGTCATCCCGGTGAGGTTTTCTTTTTTGGTAGCAACAAAATCCCTCTTGAAACCGCCTCGTAGACATTGTGTATGTGGCATACAGTATACAGAACTGATCTATCTCATCTACCGTAGTTCTTGTCAAACACCCGAAACTTTGCTGCTCAGAAACAAATTGTGATGCCTGTGATGCCCTTAAATTGTTATTTTGTCAATTTGCTCATGGGTAATTTTATGAGATATAGTAAAACAAACACGGCATGGTTTATATACAGAAGTAGTTGGAATTAAGTCTTGTCCCTCGGTGTAGGTCAGCTAGACACACGTGTATGTTTACGTGAATGCATTGCACTACGTACAAGTGTACTTGTTAAACCACGGTCATAGATAATGAATTTTGATTGGTCGCGAATTGATCACGTGATATGCATCAGGCACACACGTATCTTTTTCGATCAACGGCAAGGGCGATGTTTCGGGCAACAAAAAAAATCTTGGATAACGCTGATCTTTCACACAGTTGATGTATCGTGTCCGCTGCGTTGTGATTGTGTAACCTTGAGTACGAGAATGGATAGCCGCGCTGGTAATATGCGTTAATTATTGTTGGAGATGTGTGGTCTGGATACCAGATCCGATGATTCCGACTATTCCTGTCCAATGAAGGGTCCAGTATCACTCAGGGTTCACGTGACTAAAACCGAAAGAATTCCTCCAGTTTACGAAAATGGGCGAAATAGTCGGAACTGGTCTCGTCTATATTCGTAGAGCACCGTTGATGGTCGGGTATTTCCGGCCATGTCTTCACGCATGAGATACATTTTTCTGTTGCTTGTTGCATACATGTTACTCCCTTTCTATGCATTTTTTTGAGTTGCTCGCATACTTTCAAAGTAACTTCTAACTCGAACAACCTGTATGTACATCTAAACACACGATTTACCCAGGGCATTCCTTGTGACCCTCGACATGTTGCACCATGATCTATTTATATCTGTAGACCTTGGACCGGTCCCTGTCCCTATTATAGGGACCGGTAGGGCTGCATAATTAACTTAAGCGATTATCCCTGAATGCATAATTATTAAAAAAAAATTTCTGACTGAGGCCAATAGCGATGCTTTTAACATGAATTACGTTCCCGCAGTAAGGCGAATAACACACAAAAACCTAATCCTTAATTGCTCATCTTCTGTTGATTACAGTGACTCGGTGGCATTTTTTTTTTCAATGCATATGATCGATTTATTATTTTATGGTTATCAGAGGTTATTTTGTATAACAAATTATGGTCAAGTCATTTTCGATAACGAAGAAGAAAAGGCAAAATATTCTATCAACTCCTGCTTGATTTGTGCATCGAGTGGGCTTCGTTTCCTCATTTAGGCATACTTAAAACCGGCTGGAATCTGCGGGTTTCATCACCCGCTACCGGTCCCTAATTTCGGAGGACGTCCGTAAGACGAGTGGAACAGGAACGGGACGGGAACCAGTCTAACCGAACCTAAGATTTTATCAGGGTGCATTCCACCAAATGGTCAACATGGCTTTCTGCTCCGCCTCGGGTACCCTTTGTCCCTCGGCTTCACCGCGGGTGCCCTTTGACCGTTAGTGTAGCCAAAGCCATCACGGAGCCCTAGCGTTTTATATCAGGAAGCAATAATTGTTAGATGAACAAGTACGTTATCTCTTGGTTATTACACGGTAACTGTCCTTGAGGTCAGATAATCTCCCTCGATAAAAAAGCGCCGACGCTGCCTTTGACCGTATACCATACTTGGACAAGGCTAGGAATCTGCCACAGCAGAGAATCTCATGTTTAGGCACCGTTTACTACTTGGCTTCCCCTCACTATAGTACGTAGTTGTTCTGAGAGTGTCTATGCGGTACAGTATTGTGGTGAGTTCATTTCATTCGTTTATTTGTCGCTTTTGCATCGACATTTTCTACAATAATTCATCGTAAATCAACAATTTTTCGAACTACATAATTATTAACATCAGAGTGCATATCCATCAAGTCAAGTGATGTATTGTATGTATTAACAAAAGTAAGGATGTTTCATTTCTATTCCACATATAGGCTGTACACAATACGTTTTCCCGGCTATTTTGGATAACATTTGTCATTGAAATTCACAGATTTGTGGTTTTGGATCAAGGAATTTGTCCGGGGGCCAGGTGCACCTACTTTAGATATTTGTCATTAGTTTCCCGATTTCTTTACCTTTTTTGTCTCGGTGACCCCCCCCCTGCACCTACGCACCGCTACACACCGTCAACAATTACTCCGTCGAAATCAAACCATAACCACGCGTTATTTTACAGTGAGGAGCGTTCGACGACTTCGGCTCGTCTACGCCGAACCGTGTCATTCAGAAAAAAACGTTTTGCTTTTGCTTGTCTGATCATCTGATGACAAGTTTGTTCGATTTCGTAAGACTTCGTTGTGACATCCCAACAACTGGAACGATTTTTAGTCCTATATAAAGATAATTTCCCACCGTTATCCTTTTCTTCACTTGCCTGCCTTGAGTGCTTTCTTTGATTCTTTCCAATTAATATTCTGGAAAAGACGCCAGTCTCTTTCTGGGTGCACTAGCAGAAAACAAAATTAATAAGGATAATCGATTTTATTATACACATTGCCTATTTTTGTACTCTTGTCATTTGCTTCATTTTGACTTTAAGGGGGCTTAATGTTTTGGTGGAGTGCACAAAGAAAGGCTTTAGGTACACACCTTACAGAAGTGTTAAAGATTGATACAAGACAAAATTGATCTTTAAACTGTCCCGTTCAGCAACGCCTTTGCCGAAGCTAAGTTGTAATAACGAATTTTCCCGACGGTGTATTGACAATTTGTACAGTGTTGACCCCGACCTTGCACGACGTAGCCAGTGAATGATGTCGTGTGTGAATTGTAGTTAGAAGAGACAGCACACTAAACACCAGTTCTTAAATGTTAACCCCTTCGCTACTGAGGACTGCTACTACCGCACCGTTGTGCTTAACGAGCAGCAACACATTGAAATGAAGAACACAAATACTGTACAAAGGAGTGGGAGTAATGAACACACACATAAAACTTGCCACAATGCAAATTGACTGAAAGACAAGGTTTGGTGAGGAAGAGATAATCTCTCCTCGGCACGTATGTGTGTTCGTCGGTTGGATTATTTTTAATAACAAGTTGACTTCCATGATGGGAAATTAAATGTTGCACGTGCATCAAGTCACGAAAGACCTGTGGTGCCATCAAATATACATGTGCAAAAAGTGGAGGGTACACTGTAAAAACAACGCTTAGAGTTTAACACTTTTTGTACCCATTTTTCCACACGTTTAACCCATGACATGTTTATTAAAATGTGTTTAGGAATGTGTTTAAACGCTACACGCTTTTCTGTTGTACATGTTTAGCTGTTAGAATCCGCTTAGCATTTCAACACATTCTTCAACGCATAACACTAAACATGCCGAACTTTATAAACGTGCCAAAACAGTGGGTTCAAAAATGTGTTGAGAAATGTGTTAAAACTCTTAAGGGTTGTTTTTACAGGATAGGTTTTAGAGGTTCGTTAGCTTTCAAAGTGCGGTTTTTACAAGCTTTATTTTCTCGGAAGTTCGTGTTACGAGATATGAAAACGAACCTGAGAAAATACATTTCTCATAACAACAAACTCTACTGTTAGAAACATTGTATATTAACACTCGACTCCGGAGAGAGGGTTTGTGACATTGAATCCCGACTTTTAAAAAATGGAATAATTTTTTTAACGAATCTTTAACTCTTCAAACACTGTTTTTTGAAATTAAATATTTTATGTGATTTCTTTTATCAAATTAGTTGATTTGAAATACATAGGCCTATTTTCAAGTTGGTTTTATATTTAATGAAAAAATACATCTTGAAAATAATGAAAAGGAACTGGTCAAAACGGCAACAAACACAGGACTGGGGCACGAGAAAAAATTCTGTCAATCCCCCCTCCGTGCCGCCTGCCAAAATCCTGTTTCTGCCCCTGTATCCTGTAATAATAAACTTTGAAACAATATAGTTCACTCTTTTTTGCAAATGTATACATTATGGCACTAGTGGGCTTTCGTACCAAGCCAATTCTGCAGGGCAACTAAATTTGGAAAGGCAATTCTTGACGTTTTTTCAACGCCGGGTTCCTATGTTGAACAAACTGTTACCGAATAGGCCTATCAGCTGTGGAACAAGAGAACTGCCCTGCATGATGGCTACCACGCAAAGCCTCCATTACTGCAATGTCGCCCCCGCGCGGCTGCCAATCAATACATTCTGTTGGCACGCCTACCACCTGTGCTTTTCAAATATCTGTGGAGTAGTTACGTTGCACGTCAACTGGATCAAGGATTTGGCCGAAGGGGTTGAGCTCTCCGTAGGGAAGGGTAATGCGCATTTTTGTTCTATTATATCTTTCGAATATCCGCAAGCGAGTCTTTATATATAGTTCTAATCGACCTAATTCTCCAACAAGAGTGTGTTTTATGAGAAGGGCGCTTCACTGAACAACGATTTACCTAAAGAGCCAGGCTAGCTAAGCACTGTACATACAAATAGTACACCTTTGAAATTGACGGGAAATTTTTTTTCACAGCCGTGTGACATTGTATGGGTATAGTTTCGAGTAAACTGCTTTACATCGATTGGAGAAATGGTGACGTCACCTCCAGCCTGAGCCCATTGTGAGTTTACGAGGAAGTGGAATGAATCTGGTACACCGAGTTATGTGCAATGCACATTAATATAACAAATTTGGAATGCCATAGATTGAAGACATTGTTGCTATATACCTCATGATTTTGGGCAAGCTTTTGCATAGCGGCCGCCATCTCTGGAATGGACTGGTTCCTTTGTGCCCTTTTTATCCATTGAAAAACAGTGTATTGGTGCAAGGCATCTCTATGTAAATAAGCAAAAGCTTGCCCCCAAATCACAAGGTGTAGCAACAGTGTCTCTAGTACGGAGAATTCAAACTGAAGTAGCGAAATTCATTTGCCACAGATATAGACCCCTGGTGGAAATGCTCTCTCCTTTTTCCTGAAATAGGATGTACAGGTCTGTGGTCACTTTCAACAGCTTTGTTTCTGCCAAGTTTGGGTTTAGATAATGTTTAATTCAGAAAAATGTCGATGATGCATATTGCAAGGTTTTCTGCTAAATGTGTTATGAAAATGGCTTTATCCGCCGGCTGAAAAAAATCGCCTACCGCAGACGCGTGACCCACATGCAGCATGGCAACGGCACCCCAGGTTTACATACGGAGGACTGATAAACAAACTGTTATGAAGGTCACAATCAACGCTGTGAGAAAATTCTTATGCTTAAGGCCTTATTCAATCCCAACGGATGCGCTCGAGTGGAAATGAGCCCACTTTTATTGTGAGTGTTGGAGAATGTTGCGCGCAGGTGCATCTGCATTCCGATTAACCAACGCTTGAACATAATTGGCATGGGCATAGTGTAAGTATTTTGTTTGATATGACGAAATCCGTCATACTGTTTTGTGGTGCAGTGTTGAACATTGTTGGTAAAGACAGACAGTAAGTTCCTTCCCCATAATTCCACCAAATTTTCGTCATGGCAAAATACGCGTGGATGAGCTTCAGAAGCTTTAGAGAAACAAAATTTCCATCGAAAGAAAAAAATCCGAAAATGGTTACCCCCTGCTATCTTGAAATGGTCATGTGATGAATGAGCATAATTCCAGTCTTAGCGTAGGTCATATAACGTGATAATCGTGCACGTAAGTGAATGGAGCGTATTCTTTTTGTGGGGGATATAGGTGCATGCAAAGATATGCCTATAAGTGCCATTTTTTCCCCTAAAATTAGCTACAATATCCAGGTTAACGTGAACTGTAAGACAACTTAAAAAGACGATATAGACTTTGCCTCCTCGGTCCGTACCAGTGCAAAAAAATGTTAAGTCCTGGGCCTATACGCCCAGAGCAGGAGCACCCCCTCCTAGACTGAAAAGGTCGGAAGTGTTCATTTTGTTGGTAGCAATGCGACTGCAACGCTTGCGTTTAATAGTCGTGTATATGAACCAGCAATGCGCAGTTACTACTAAAGGAGCCCCCGTTGCTAATAAAATTGCACCCTCTCTTGGTCCAGCTCGGAGGCTATTGACTACTTCGAATGTAACGCTTTAGTGAGAAAAAATCGGGTCTTTTCCCCTTTCCAATCATACCTTCAGTCTTTCTCTCTCTCTGTCTACCTCCAAGGAACAATGCGTTGGGCACATCCGTCGACATTCGTGGTGCTTGCCGTGGGATTTTGCATGGGCCTTGTGCCGTCCACTTTGCTTTGGGGTTCGGTCAACTTTCTCTACGGCCGGGGGACAAGGAGTGGTACAGTGTCACAACACTCTCTTCAGTGAGTACTGTTCAACTTGTCTCTCTGTGTGTCTGGCAGAAAGTTTTAGTGGAGTGATGCTTCCATGGCGTTACAAAAAAATGGAGGGTAGGTGGGTGGCTCGCTGGGTGGTTTGGTGGTGTCTTGGCAGCTTGCTGGGTGGATATCGGGGGGGGGGAGTAGAACCCACTATGCTCCCCATGCGGACACTACCATGGGCGCACGCTATGAAAAAAATACAACCTAGCCACGTTTTATACCGAAATGACACGCATTGGTCATCTGATGCTGCCTTTTCAAGCATGCAAGTGACCACGCGAGTATCTCCCTGAACCCTTTTACTAGAATGCTTTTGAAGTCAGAGGCGCCCAGGCCCTCAGAGATCAAGACCGAGCCACGTTTGACTGATGGTACACCTGATTCGATTTACCGTAGACATGCAGTCGAGCAAGCTTTACCGCTGAGAAGCTCTCAGTCTTCGGGCAGGGCTAAGGACGACCCGGAGTCGGGCCAATCCTCGTCACGGTTACCTAAAAAAGTCCTGCTTGACTGCGGGGCTAACGTGGCATCCACCGTGCTGTTGTTCAGGGAGACCTACCCCGGGGGACGGGATTTCACCATTCACTCGTTCGAAATTGACGACCGACTGTCGCCGTACTTCAGCCCATACGACAAACACCATCTACACTGTCCTGTCGGTGTAGCGGGCAAAGATGGTATGTAAAATTTATAATGAAAGCTCGAGTATTCTTTTTTTTTCTTCTTTTTGCTTCAGTGTAGGGTAAAACCGTGTGATGGCGACATAATTCTTTCGCCTATCATTTGAGCCATGTTCAACTGGTTTGTTTTTCTCAGTCTTTGGGGCTGTGGGCCTCCGTGCCAGTTCACTCCCACCCATTTGTTCCTCGCATAGGTAACATGACGGCCTTCTCAGAGACGGTTTGGGGACCGCACAAAGGTTTGAACCACGGACGAGACATGCAGTGGGGAGGAGGATCCCTCTTCGTATCCGAAAAGGAGCTAAAAGATGAAGCAAAAGGTGTGCCTAACACGGAAAACTGTTTGAAATTTACATCGATACTTTGCCTTCATGTTTTGTGACGGGCAGGCCTTTAGCCTTTTTTTTTTCTTTTATCCTGTTCTATTTATACATTGGAACAAAACTATACATTAATTTCTCTGTCGTTTCTCATATTTTTGTTGTATAAAAAGTTATTTAATCATCACAACTCTGCCCCCCCCCTTGCTAGGTGGTGTTCGGAAGCTGTCCTACCGACAAACAATTCCCGTGGTAGACCTGTCAAAATGGATCACGAACACCTTTTCGGTAAATGATTACATTATCCTGAAACTGGACGTTGAGGGCGCTGAGTTCGACATCCTACGGAAGATGATAGACGACAACGCATTCGCCTACATCGACAAGTATGAAATGAATCCAATATCCCAGACCACCCACTGGACTTATGAGCCTGCAAAGGGATTGACTTCGGTGCTGAAATTTATTTCAAGGAGCTGTCGCTGCTGTTAAGAAAATACAGGCTGCAACTATATATTCTGTGTTGTACTATCCTTAAGATGACCCGAGACTGAATTATTCGACATCTGAACTGTAACTTTCGTACATTCACATTTAAATTGAGGAATGCACCAATGTTCTAAAGTTGAAAAAATTGTTTACTAACGACTGAATTTATCCCTGTGTATTTGCTTTCGTTTGTTTTGTTTTTGTTTATTATTTATTTATTTATTTATTGGTTATGATAGATATTACGGTGAATACCATGATGGCCAACCAACGGGCTGGTCAAAGGAAGGCAAAAATAAGATTCGCTCTGACATCAGGAAGGCAGGCTTCACCATGATCAAATGGGTTGGGGAGACTAGAACATACGATGACATAGAGAAAGTGAACCCCGTCAAGGTATGGACCATCCCAGCCAAGGTTTTCAAGGGTTCGTGACAAGTACTGGGCAGTCTGTTCTTTATGTAATTATTTTTACCTTTCCTATTATTTATAAAAGCTGTTCGGTATCCCTGGATTGGGGCATGGCGAATTTCCAGCTCCTGTCCATTAGTTCAACCACACGAACATGTCTTGAGACTGGGTGTGGTATGATAGGGCTAACGTTCCCTGGTAGCTGACATCTCCCAATATGCATGGTTACTTACTTGACCAACGGCCATATCTGAACGCTGCAGTCGGCTAACGTACAAGATGGTGGTGTGATTCGATACCCCTTTGATTACATGTTGAAAAGTGCATTTCTTTAGGACATCCCAATCTTTTCCTGCCAAATAAAGACACAAATGGTGTGACGTCATTTCAGGAAGATATTTTCCATTTCAATTTTTCCAGTCTAAATATTAAGCAAAGCAACTGATGTGCCCTCTGGCCAATTTATATGAATGCCACGCACTGTACTAAAACAATAGTCAATCACCAAAGAAAATAAAATGAAACAGTAAAATATCACGAATTCTTTCAAAACTGTAACTTTTATAGCTTCAACCTTGAGATATCTGCAGAAAACGACGTCACACTTTTGCCCCTAAGCACAGTTCTTGCTGATATGAAAACCCCAGTAAGTTATTACAATTGGTGCAATTAAGAGTTTACATTGCCTGAGAAAGCCCCCTAGTAAGCTGACAAGGTCCTCCGACTCTTCTCCTTATTTAAAGTGCCAACATCCAGTGCAATATATTTTGGGGTAATCATTCTTTTTTTAGGTTCCACCAGACACCCCTGGAAGACCGGGCGAGATCTACTCAAATTGTCAGAGCGGTTCAGTAGCCGTCACTGTTGCCGTTGGCATGAACTTCAAGCGAGCGCACCGGGTAGTCGCCACTCTATTGGCCCACAAACCCTTAGTTCCCACCACGCTGTTTGTCTACGGGGACTTCGTGCAGGTCTTCCCTGAGACGGTCAAGTCCTGGGCCAAGCACTTCAACATCGGCATACGGGAGGACGGCCACAATCCCCCGGGACACTTGGAGCTGATGCCCGGTCATTGGGTCCGTATGGGTCTGATCAGCAGCATCTTGCGTCTGGAGGAGATTGGGATCACTGCTTCTTACTATCTGCCGACGGTAGAGAAAGACATTGGTGTCACAATCAAAACGATGGCAGAAGCTAGGGGCCTGAGGATAATTAGACCTGCTGTAGAATTTCCTGCCCCAATCGGTAAGTTAAAGAACGACAAACAATGTCTGAGTAGCAGAAAGCAAACCAACATTGACTTGCATTATGCACAGCTATGTGCATTTCAAACATGCAATTAGATGAGGCACCATGGGACACTGTCTTCTCCTGGGGGACATGCCCCCTATGGTCAGTCCCTTTGTAACGATTTGATCATTTGTTAACTTTGTGCAAACGAAGTTTTAAAAACAAGAAGGTTTAACAGGATTGGCAAGTTGCTACGGGCATTTCCGTATGAACAGTGTCATATACACCTCGGTCTTCACAGTCTATAATTGCTATCTCGGTCTCACAGGGCAAGGTTTTGTGTTGCCCTCGTTCCCTTTACGATCTGCCGTGACCTAAGCACCTACACGTCCCGTTCTGAGGACCTGTTTTACAACGACAGATTGACCAAGACTGAGGACTAGCGAACTCCTCTGTTCCCCTTTTGTGATAATTGTATTCCAAGAGAGGCACCTGTTGTTGTTTTTGTTTTAAAAATTGGCTCTTTTCGCCAATAACTGTACGTTTATTCATACACTTTATTAATCAGCATCACATTACGGAGTGAAGAAGAAGGTTCAGTTTAAGAGGCAGGAGGAAACCAGAGTACCGGGTGAAAACCTGCGAGAGCGAGTATGGACTGGAAACAAAATGCACTTAAAGCTTGGGCCAAGCCTGGACTCGAACCTGGGCCTCATTGGTGCAAAGCGAGGAAAGAACCGCTACGCTAACCCGCTCCCCCCTTGGGAGGCACCTTGCTATCCTTGAACACTTTATACAGTTAGTGGTAATTACATCATCGAAGAAAACACGTGTTCTCTTTTATGCCGCAAATTCTTTTCCAAGCCCGACTGACTCGACTGAGGTGTTCATCCTCTGGATCCCGGTGGTATGAGCCACGGACGTGTATAATAAATCTGGACTTGCAATGCCCTTAATCAGCTTATAGAGATCATTGAATCCACTAGCGGCCATTTTACCGAGCCGAATACAAAGCTTTCCTGGCAATGCCACCCTTGTTCTTCCTGACGTCAACAGAAGGGAGCCCACCCACGCATTTGTATTCGGCTCGGTAAAATGGTCGCAGGTTGGCTTCTTTTTCATACAACGGCTTTGCAAATCCAGGTGTTTTATATACGTCCGTGGTATGAGCCTCGAGATGGACCGAGAGAGGGCGCAATTTCTTAGAAACTGAGGCTTCTTTGGTCGGAACAGAACCTCGCTTCTTCACGAACGACTATGATATGCACGCGTTACGGTCGCAACACTACCAACAAAATGAACACTCTCGACCATAATGGCTCTTTTTCAACTGATGAGGGGGTGCTTCTGGTAGAGTTGGATGGCCACATACACAAGCCCACATTTCTAGCCCTTCACTACAATTACTCCTTCGTTCAGCACCTTCTCTATTTTTTTTCCAGGCTCAGCTGCAGAACTCACATGGGATAACTACTACAAATACCGCGACGTGGAACGCGTTCCCAAGGCGCTACGGCGGATCCACGACGCGCTCGTCAAAAACAGCGGTGGTGTCTTGACCCTGGACACGGACCTGCCGGACACTTACATGAATTCTGTGTTCATGATGGACTATCTGGTGGAAACGTCGGGCTTCAAGTTGGTGGATTTGAACGAATGCATCGTCAACTCACGATAGTCCGCGTTAAGGTCTTTATTTATTTATTTTTTTATTTTTTCATTCCTGTGAGAGGCCTTTGGTCGTAGCATAATTATTTCCACAAATTATTTCTACTCAAGTGACAGGTTTTTGGATTTCGTAGTTAACCTCTCACCGGAGAATTATGTCATAAAAGGCCTCTGCTACTTCCAGTGGCAAAAAACAACGCGACGTCACGCCAAGCCAAGTTCTGGTGCAGAGCAATTAGTATTCTCTTAATTAAAATGTGCCTCAGAGGAAGAATGGGTTATTTTTTGTTGTTTTTAATTTTAAAATTGACAAAAATCTTTAACAACCGAGTTGTGATGTCCGTAGCTCTGTCGAGAACTTATACCACATTATGGGTCTTGAACCTGCTTGCCAACTTGTTAAGTGAAGATTTGAAGCGCGCCCTCTCGTGGCACAATCCTTAATTCGCCATTGGACGCGTGAAACTGGTTCTTAGCTAAGAGACGTCTAGATCATGTGATCATCAATAGGGTATTATAATATTGAAAATTCTGCCCAATAACGAGTTAGGACTCCTTAGCGGCAGTCTAGGCTTTTCCAAAAAAAGTCACATCTTTAAAATAATCCTCTTTTATCGTTTTCTTCACTAAAAAGTGTACTATAGCTGCTTTCTTTAAAGAAAATATGATTTTAAATGAAATTTTGTTCGGTTTAATTTAGGTGTGTGGATTTCAGCCAAATTGTCTGCAATATTGTGTTTATTTTTTGTACGTTTTAACCCCACACGATCCGGGTTATTGTGGACCATCTCATGGGATGGGATGGATTTCACCTGCTTAGAACTTGGTTGTCCCAAGCCCGATTTTTTTTAAAAACCTACGCGTGCAGACCCTTCTAATATTAGTACAAATTTCGAGTTTAAACTTCATCTGACTAAAAATTCTGTTGTAACGGTCATTTTTTAAGTTCAAGATGGCACGCATGCCTGCCCGCTTGCATTGAGCAAGGCATAACCGACGGGAAAAGTATACATCTGGGGGGAGGGCTGCGCGAGAACTGCAAGTCAGATTTTCATAAATTAGTGTCAAAATGACTGCAAAGAGTTACTGAAAAACTTCTAAAATCTCACCTTGTGAAAAAGGGTGCACCACGGAGACAGAGCTACAGTGAGTGCAGCCCAGCTTTAGCGGATCCTGGAACCAAAATGGCTGTCCATTATTTGTGTGAGATAGCATGCAGCTGTTGGGTGCTAAATGTCCATGTGCACTGCCGAACAATCCACCATTTTAGTTCCAACAGTTGAGACACTCATGTAACAAATCTCTCCATTTAGAGCTCTGTGTCGACATATTGGAAAAATGTCAAGAGTAAACGGAATCCACCCAGCTCTTTTAGGTTTTAAGTTTGAACTTTGAAGTACTAAGTGTGAATTGAAATTTTTCTTATTTTCAAAACTCTAGTTGGTTTAACAGCTTAAAAATGTACTCAAAGTCATGTTTTTTGTGGGTTTGTTCACTGTGATAGATTTTATTTATTTACGTTTTTGAATGTGGAGGTTCCACCGGCATCCATTTGAGGCTATTTATTACCATCCCCTAAATCGTTCAAAAGAACTAAAAATCCAGCTTATTGTTTCTACTTTCTCATTTGGATGTTTATCTGGTGTATAATGTTCGTTACATATTTCCACTGAAACAGTGCCTTTATATGTAAATTTTTGCAAAGTCACATGACTCTAAAATAAGTTCCGCTGCAGCACGCTAACTGCCTTCAGTGAAATCACCGCAGCACATACCTCCCGCAAAGTACCCAGAGGTGTGATTCCCGTTTATTTTCTTTTGCTTCTATGTGTAAGTTCTTCAATTTGTTTCTTTAACATTTAGGTCAATCCATTCCAGCCATTGATTCTGCTTTTAATTTCCATGTTCCTGTGCATGTGGCCATTTCCATTTCTGGAAGTCGTCTGAATTTGAAAATCGATCCACATGTACATAAAATTGTCCAAGATGTTTTTGAGTTTAACGCCTTGGACCCTTTCCAGGAGAAAGGCCATCTGTGAGAGACCTCCAGAGAGCTAGCTCTGTCCAGGACAAGATGTGCAGGAACTTCAAGGTCGCATATAGCCTTGTTACATTAATGTTTAACCATTACCAAGATCCAAATTGCTATACTATTTTTAATTTTCTTTTAATATTCAGTTTGATCTCTGAAATAAATAATGAACCCNGCCAAAATTGTTTTGCAGTGAGCCAAGTCGGCCAGTTGTTTCACATTAAGTTGCTAAGTTGAGTGGTTGATATTCCTTCGAACGCAACATAAGCTGCACGTTGATTGTTTAACTGATATCACGTAGATCATCGCTCGTCCCCTACCGCCCTCAGCCCCTATGAGCCACCGAGAAGAGCAACATAAATGCATGATTTAAGTTTTGTCGAGCACTCACTGGACAAAGTTTATTCGAAACTTGGCGTGTGTGCATGACATGTTTGGACCCCAACGTGCGTGTGTTGTTTATGGGAGCAAGTAACACAGTGCTTTGCTCGTCGGTAGCTGTGACGTATTTTCCTGCACAAAATGTTATGAGACATTTGCAACTAGCAGTTCATTGGATATTTCAATTATGACCACTAAAAAAAGTTTCTTTTTCATTTCGCAAGCTTTACCTTTTTTTCCTCCCCGAGTCCCCTCCCAAAATCCCCCAAAAGTTTGCGATCTCGTACCTTTGCACAAGTTTAAAATGGCGCGCATGAAATTTCCTCTTACCTGAAATCGTTGCGCAAGTTTACTAAAACTTGCCCAAGGTATCAAATTTGCACTCAAGAAGACCACAGTGCAGAAGTGTAGTAACTCCTTCCCTCCACTGCGTGGTTTGTCGAAGAGAGCTGTTTCTTACGTTCAGACAGGATGCAGATGGTCTTACGGCCGTCTGCGTTTGTGTTCGTTGCAGCGGGTTTCTTCACGGGCCGGGGCTTGCGCCGTTCATTTTACTTGCGGGCTCGGTCGACTTTCTTAGTCTTGTATGTCTGGAGCATTTGCTTGAAAAACTACGCCGTCAACAAAGCAGCCTGTTTGGTGAGTATGGTCATGGGCATTTGGAATACCTTTTTTGGCCTTAGCTGGAATTGCTATCTCTGCACCACTATTTTATACAAGTATTGCCGTAGTTCTACGGTTTGTTTTCATGGCAACGTGCCGCATACCCTCCGGTGCACCGAACTCGTATTTAGTTGATCATGTTATTCAGCATCGGCAGAGGTAGGATGTAATATAAGGTCTTCGCATTTTGGCCGTAAAAAAGCTTTTATTAAGAAATTACGAAAATGGCCGTCCATAGCTGACGGAGAGTGCTCTGCCCAGGGTTTTAATTAATCAAATTAAAGATAACTGATAATAACCCGTGTGTTTTGTGTCAATGCTTATTATTTGTCGAGGTTGGCGCAATTCAAATGTGAGAACAGCTACCGATACAGCGACGTACATGCAGCGCATGCCCAGGATTCTGCGGCTGATCCATGATCAGGGCATCTTGACCCTGGACACAGACCTGCCGGACATACATGAACTCTGTGTTTATGATGGTGGATTTGAACGAATGTATTGCCAAGTTGGGATAATCGATTCTTTACCCCACAGGAAGAAGTTGAATGATTTTGAATTACATTTTTGCGAAGAGAAAAACCGTGTCCACGACACTCTTATTTTTCCGCCAGCAGTTTAGTAAAATTGTGGCTGGCTGTCAGTACAATGGTAAAAACGCAAATTTTCATTAAAAAAAATCTCACAAAGTCATTAAAACACTACATAGTTAATTTTCATTAAATATCTTCAATAAAAATACAGCCGTCCTCAGACGTGAGGGGCAAATGTAAATATTAGGGTAAATTTGACACCTACCAGGGTGTTATTTCTGCAAACTTCGACCACCTATGAATAAATATATGTCCATATTAGGCCATGTGAAAGCGGTGTGTACATGTACAATGCATATGCAAAACCCCTCAACCCGCTTTGACATTAGGCCTATGGCTGTACCATGCTGAATGAAGTCCACATTTTGCGAGGTCATCATAGCACCGTTATTTTGAGTGAATTGGTAATGAGTCGAATGGGTGACGTACTTAAAATGGAGGGGGCCGCAGGGGCGTGTTTTAGGCTTTACCCCGCTCAGAAATTAGAGATAAAAAATGTCTGGTGATAGTCCTTTTCGGTATTGTTTTAACTTTCACCGAACCCAAATAAATGAGCCCCCAGCTTCTCTTCACTGCAAAAACTCTGGTGTTAAAACAACATTATTGGTAGTATCAAATGATTACATCAAAATGCGTTAAAACACCGGTTGTGTTACTGTACACATCTACAAGTGTTTGTGCACTGGATAGTGATAAAAATAACACCAACATTTTTGAAATAAGACCAAAATATTTAACACCGGTGAAAAGTGTAGTTCTCACTTAACACCAGGGGTGTTAGATGTAATACCCGATTTTTACAGTCTTCAAAATTTAATCCAGTTACGCTGGTATTGCGTATATGCAGCAATTTTAAAACCACTACAATCTGTGGGCATGGCGCTCAGGTTTATGAGCAACAAAACCTTGCATGATGCTTGGTATATGAAAGGCTGAGGGCGGGGATGCCGACTGAGAATAGATCCCCGTGCACAGCGCAACCTTCAAGCTCTGAAAGCCAGAGATTTCTTTGTACCAGTAAACGCTTGTTTACGTACTCCATTCTGCGAGAGTACTTTTTGGCGAGCAGGGTAAAAGACGTGTGTGTGTGACAATCAGCCTTGTTAAAATGATTTCAGGATAAACATGACACTTTGCCATCAAGAATTCACTAAATGGAAGTGGGAGGAAAAGAAAATAAACAGGTGTGATAACCAAGCGACGTTTTCTTTTCTCTTGTCCAAATGTTATTATTGGACATGACGTGTTTGCCGGTCCATAGCCATGAATGGAGAGCGCGAGTAATAAGCCTTGTTCTGCACTGTTACAATACAACTTGTTGCCGAAGGGAATTCAACTGTGCCCATTGCGTTGTGTGCTTGAGATAGCCTGTATGAGGCGCTGTTTATGACTTTATTACAAAAATACAGTATATTTACACAGACTGTGACAAAACGTGAATCAAACTCATGTTTACAACGGAACTTTTAACGTGAGTTCCGTTAACATTCTGGATATAAACAGAAGCGACTATAATTCAATCAGACGAAAGGTTCATGAACCAAACAGAAAAAAATAGAACGGCACAAGTCAAGTAAAAAATTATAAATAGAAGAAAAAGGAGGGAAAAAATACAAAGCGCCACCTATGACGCTATTTCTAGGCCGCCCCTGGTGGTGGGGTGGTAGGTCCATCCTCCAGTATTGGATGATGAGGCACCAAGAATACTCCCCAAAGGATGAGTCGGACACCGGATATGCTATGAACTATTTATTCTAAATATATTGCTCCGCCATTCATAAAAACGCTCAGTTAATTACACTCAACCATTGCACACAGTGGAATCAGCATTATCAACAAAACAGTGTTCAAAAATTAGTAATTTACACTCAAGAATTAATAAAGAGGTATCAACCAACTAAAGTAATAAAATGTGGACTCAGAGAGACTATTTGTTGTAGTGGATGTCGAGGCTCTGTCCGCACAAGGCACAATGAGGCCTAAGGGCTGCATAATTAATCAGCTCAAACCCCATTGGGGCGCTGACGTAACCACAGGCCACTACAGAACGAAGCGAGTTCCATGTAATTATGGAAACAAACAAATTATATAGGACGAAACGAGTTTGCAGCGCATAAGACGAAATGCCATTTGCTAGAAAATGCGCCATTGGCTGGCATTCACTCCAGGAAGAAGGCTAGAAAATATGGATAAACTTGAATGAGAGCACGTTACGCTGTACCGAATGTGATGGCAACCATCTTTGGATAACCAAAATTCTCGCCACTAATGGCCTCATTTGTTCGTGTGTGCCATCTAGTCAGTGCCTTGCGCGAAACTAGACCTTACCGGTGAATATAACAATAGGGCGTTGTTTTCCATATGTCCCTTTGTGTTCCCATGGTGCCACATGGTGTCCAAGTGATGCTCTTGGTGTTGTGTTCGTTTATTGTACCGTGGGTGTCCATAGTGTTCCCGTGGTGAAAATGAGTTCCCCAATGGTGATCATCTTTAACATATATGGTGAATATGAACTTCCCATGGGTATTCGATAGGATCCCATGGGATTCCCATATTGGGATCCCATGGTACATTTCTACATAAGGATATAAGTTGTCTCGTTTACTTTAAAGCACAGAGGTAGGCTATGAGGATATAGGTTAACTGAAATCGATTCAGGAATATTTATGTAAAGCGGCGTTTCATGAGGGATCTGTATTTTTACCACCTGATTTCGCTTTTGTAATCCATTCGCCGTCCTGTTTTGGATTCCATCAACTTGTCAACTTTAACTTTTAACTTCTGTATCACGTTTGACTTTGTCACTCTTCATGCATTGACTACGCTACACCGAGGTTTTACATTGTATTGAAATGTCGGTGAGTTCCACAGTTTTTGATCTGCGCTGTTGTGTTTAGCGTAAGAAACATTTCAATAGGGACCTTTTCAATGAAAAATGTTAAATTTTTATCTCTTTGCACAAAGATTTGTTATTTATTGATTTATTCTGGTTTATTCAATTAAAATATACAGGGTAGGCAGCCACATCAGGGTTGCTGATAAAACCCCATTTACAATAATCTAAAGGCATCACAACAGAAAAAGAGAATATAAAATGATAAGAGTTCGGAAAATAATTCATAATTTAAAAAAGTGAATTATAAAAATGATAAAAAATTAACTTATAAATCTGTTTTCACCAAACGAGGGAAAAGACAAAAACAATCTCTGCTATCTCTGTGCACGAAATCTATTTCCCCATTCACAAACGGTTCGTTCAGACCACCAGCAGCCACGGAAATGGGTGCGTACGTGTATTCGAAGCCATATATCTCAGGACACACCTAGATTTTTTCATATGCTTTGTGTCAGACGGTGTACAGTTTAACAATAGTCGCAGACTGTATAACACCATGGTCTGAAGGACATTTCCAATACAAATAGTCATTCTGAGAAATGAAAAGAAAGTTGATAAAATTAGCCAACAATTGTATTCCTGCGCAGAATGCAAACCTGTGTGACCTTCAGTAGACGTGAATAAACAACAATGTAGGAACCTCCGAACTAAAAAAACATACATAGCGCCATATGCAGATGCGCTCATTGTTGGCGAGACTTGTGTACTCTCAAAATCTTCAGGGAATCCACAAAACCTATTTTGGTAGTGAACATTGGCATGGTTAGTGTGCCACTCTGGTCAACGCAGCTAAATTGTTAAATTGTAACATATCAGGGAACGAACAGGTCGATCTTTTTTGTACCTGAAAGTTAGTTTTGCAGTAATTTTAAGCAGGACCTAGAGTCACTGGGCGATGAAAATGGCATTGGCCGGTTTATTTTTGACCTTTTTGTTGATTTTCCCAAACGTCAGCATGGCTGGTACAATTGAAACATCGACTGTACATCAATTCCCAGGAGGTAATTATCCAACGTGCATAAGGTCGTCACACTGGAATGACCACAGAGAAAGAGCTCTGATTTGCATGGCTGAAAAAACGGAACCACTTGTGTCACTGGAATGGACAACCTTAATCAACAGTTCAACCATGGTGTCACTCTCCAACAACACAGAGGTCATCGAGGATAAAGTGCAGAACTATCTCCGTCTCAACACGCTGCAGTTTTACTATGATAATTTGGTATTCACTTGCAGTATGACTAGTGAGGCTTTCCCGGGAATCAGCAGAAACTGCAGTGCTACGCCAAATATCAAAATATCAAGCTGTAACCAGTCAACAAGCACTTTCCCCTCAGCAGAAGTAACTGTCCCTTCTACATATGATTCGATAAATCGATTCAATATGTCACAAAGTCTGATTCCTGCCTCACATCATTCGACCAAAAATCCAGGCACAGCTTCCTCGTCGCCAGTGAAAACAGTAAGACCCATTACTTTTCCGAACAATATTGTAACAACTTCTGCAATAGCAGGAACGAGCACTTTCGCCATCTTGATTCTCCTGATCACAGCCACTATTTGTCTCCTTTCAAGGAGGAAAGCAAAAAGGAGAGAAGATCGAGCAGCTTCCAGAGATATTCATTTCGGCATGTGCGCCATTGTTCCCGCGCCCGCAACCGAGACCAGGTGTGAGGCGAATGTCTACACGGAAATAAGCCGTCGCGGGGACGGCAGAAGCGGCACCGTGCCTGCGACGCGAACGGCAGACATTGGGCGGAGTGGACCGCTACAGCCACCGGTCCTGTATGAAGTGGCTTCTGTGCTCGGCCTGCAGCAAACGTCGGTGACAGAGTACGCCGTGCCCGATACGGCGTCATCGCGAGAGACAGGGTGTGACTTCCCTGCCTAGAAGTGAGGATAGAACCACGAATCAAGCGCAGCAAAGTTGGGTCGAGTGGGGCCGTGTTCGGCACACTGCCGTCACAATCTGGAACTTCAGGCCTGCCAAACTTTTCGATTGACACAATTTTGGGTGTGTTCAAAACTTCCTTCCCGGATGACTCTCAAACAGCAATTGCCGGTATCTGATTCAACCATCCAACATAAGCAAATGGAGGGCAGTTGGACGAAAATTGAAGGTGATTACTGCCGTGTTAAAGCACTGAATGACAAGAAGGGAGGTTATTAATATTACAATAATTACATAATTGTCGAATTTCTGTGTAAACTATGAAAATTGGCAAATGCCAAATGTAGACCAACAATTTTTTATGGTATCATTTACCGGCCTGCACTAGGGAGCTGAATACGTGACTTTAATTTCATCCACAAAAAAACCAACGTTATTTTGCAGTATGTGCCTGTCTGCTATGTCCATATTCTTGACATGTTTCATATACTCCTTGTAAATGAGAAGTTAACATGCTTTTCGTAAACCCTGTTCGCGTGTTGAAGCTCAACATTTGGTACCCCGTTAGACCAACATAGTTTTTAATGACGTTGTAAGTGTACATACAGTCGCGTGGGACATTTTGCATGCCATGAACTGACTGGCAGATGTCTGTTGAAACAAATATTCTGACACCCGATAAGATTTCAATTGTTCAATCACGTTTTTTCTCACTTATTTTCCCAAGATGTTTCAGTATAGCTGCTTAGTAATCAATTTCACTGCTGACGAGATTTAACCGACAAGGATGACTATCAATGCATCAATTTCAAAGTTTGGCCTGCAAGGGTTTGCTTAGACGAAGTAATATCTAGGAAATACATGTAAAATTAACATACAGATGAAGCGTGTTTCGATAGCTGGAAAGTTTGTCATAATTGTTCAATAAATCAGAAGTTTGTAGACCCGCTAGATATTGACACAAGTGCGGTACATAACGATTTTTTTAACTTATGAAAGTATTTCCACCGAAAAAAGCAAAACACAAAGCAGAAAGCCAACATACACTCATTATTAGCGGCTCATGGTATAGAGAGCCGCATGCCAACTCGCGTTTCTGATGTCAAATCCTTTCAAGCGAACAATTGGAAATTTACCGCGCAGGACAACAACTTTGATTGAGTGAGCAGGGAATTGAAGTAATCGAGGTCTGTGGTTGCCAACTTAATGGTAGCCATGGTTTCAAGAGCACGCATTTTTATCTCTCTCTCTCTCTCTCTCTCTTGTTAAAATAATCACTCACATTAATCATTGGCTGTTTAAGCTGGAATAGAACCTCACAATGGCCTTCATGCCGAAAATTTGCTTTGCTGATTTGTTTACTCACGTCTGGATAATTAGAGGTCGCAAGCAAAACCGGCGAGTTGTAGTCATTTCCCAACCTTCAAAGGGACATTATTTCAGCTTATTTGACACTCATCTTTTCAAAGTGAAATTTCTCCCTGTAACTATGGTAACGGTCGTGCAAACATCCTGTCGAGTAAATAGTGGGTAATAAGCCTTTCATTTGGCGTTAACTCAATATATTTTCTTCTCATTAACATTTGTAAAAGGACTGCACTTGTCAACGTTGCTTCGCAACTCTCCAGCAACGAGTTTAATAGATTACTCCCTCCCAGCGCCTACCACATACCTTGTTCCTATATAGAATCTAGGCTATTGCCTCTAACGCAGCTCAGCAGCTTTCAAACGATTTAAACACCATTCATGGTATCAGTCGGAGTGTTAGTCCTGAAATACACGTCGCTTCACTGTTATAGAGAAAAAGCAGCATTTGAAGGAAACATGTTTTGGCAGTCAGTTGTTGCTTTCTTCGCGTGTGCGCTGTGCACTTGGCAGACATCTGCCGGTGATGCTTGTCTTAGGTCGGCGACCTTCAGGTTTACCGAGGACCACGCCCTGCTGGGTCACACGGTGGAGGAAATAGCAGGCGTCTCTGCCGTCATGTGCCTGGCTCTTTGCCTGAGCTGGGGCGGCCTTTGTCGCTCCATGAACTACAACCACACTGGTACGATCTGCCAGATGAACGGCGCGACGAAGGAAGTATGTACGGGCGGTTTTCAGTTGAAGCCCGGCGTCGCTTACCTCGATGTCAGCTCTGCGTTAGACATGAACTTACGGTGTCCTAAGGTATTGGTTGCTTGAGACGTTTACTCTTTTTTTTAAGATGTACTTTATATCTTTTTTTTCACCCGACCCTCATGTTTACATCTCACTGAATTATTACTACTACAGAATTGCAGTTTAATAATTTAGAGGCGATATTTCAATTTTCGTATATATTCACTATTTATGTTGCCAAGTTTCCTGTCACTCAAAAGTTCATGAAATCTTTTCCCAATATTTTTTCCTGCTATCTCACAGTGTCCCTGTTGAAACAAGCAAGATAATTTCTTCTCTAGAGAATGTTTTATTGATACCAAGAATTGAGGATTGATGCCACGGACAGTCTGCAGACTTGTGTGAACTTTGTAATGTCCATTGAGCTTATACACTTTGAGGCTATAATTTGTTGTGAACTGCCGAAACTGTGTGACATGTATTAGTTTTGGTATTTAATATCTAATGAAATTGGGTTGTGTTAAATCACTATTCAACGATAACATTTTGCACGCTTTTCTGCAAAAATCATGAGGATGAAGAAACATTTATGATTGACAGCCGATTTGTTTAATTTTGAGACTTTCAAAGTATTAGAGTACACCAGTTCACGGACACCCTCGACCAGCACATGGACACAGCAACTCGACTCGCAGGGGTCTGAGGTCACCACTATGGAGCTAGCAACAGTTAAACAGGAGCCAAACGTTGAGCCGGGACCTACTACCCAAGATCAAGACTCTAACCGAGGACCTACTACCCAATATCAAGAGTCTAAACAGGGAACTCCTACCCAAGAACAAAACTCTCAACCGGAGCCTTCTACCCAAGGTCAAGACTCTAATCGAGGACCTACTACCCAAAGCCAACACTCCAAACAAGAAACTCCTACTCAAGAACAAGGCTCTCTACTGGGACCTACCACCCAAGATCAAGACTCTAATCGAGGACCTACTACCCAAGGCCAAGACTCTAAACAGGGAACTCCTACCCAAGAACAAGACTCTCAACCGGAGCCTACTGCCCAAGGTCAAGACTCTAATCGAGGACCTACTACCCAAAGCCAAGACTCCAAACAAGAAACTCCTACTCAACAACAAGGCTCTCTACTGGGACCTACCACCCAAGATCAAGACTCTAACCGAGGACCTACTACCCAAGACCAAGACTCTAAACAGGAAACTTCTACCCAAGAACAAGACGTTGAATTGGAGGTCACTACTCAGCAGGAACCAGACATAGAAATGACAACATCGGTGCCTGCGGGTAAGAACTTTCCTTCTCTTTAATTTGAAAACTTATTCCTAAACCGTTCTCTTCTTGTGCAGTGTCTCACAACCTCGTCCCCGCCTCACCACCAGCACGACCTCTACCCAACCATCTGTCCAATTGTGCAGTTGTGTATGGGCAAGTCTCTTGCTCCGAAGTGTGTGTGTTTGTTCGGGAAGGGGAATCAAACACTCAGTAGTTTGAAAACCACCCAAAGTGGGGGGGGGGACATTCCGAGGCCACCCATACCTCCAATCATCCTGGTGGTCCTCATTGTAGCATTGTATCTGTCTTATTCTTCGTCTGGTGTTATCGCAACCTATAACAAAAGATTCTACTAGACCCTATTGAGCACCCTTTTACTGTAAATTTTTAATGTCCAGGCTGTAACGTGAACACCGAGGCACCGATGGGGATGGCAAGTGGTCTGATAGCAGATAACAAGATCACCGCATCCAGTGATGATATACCACCAAGGTTGAGCCGAATCAACCAATCCGGTAAGTGAACTGGCATTAACAAATTAATTAAGCAACATAGTCAGCAAAGGAATTTTGGAGCGAATGGATCTTCCTGGGAAGGAAAAGCAAAGCGAGTGGTCGTGAAAAATTTGTTAAATGGGACGCCATCTCGAATGCAATGAACAAACTCCTGAACACTGTTCCCAACAAGGTAAGATGTGATTTTTTTCCCACTCGATATTGCTGCTGTTTATGATTTGCACAAACATTTGGGAAACCTCAGGAACGAGGAATACCCCCCATCTTTTGCCCGATCGTGGACGTTTGACTATTGCATACGACGCAGAAATGCTGATTACCTCTACACTGTCTGTACCATTTCTTTCCCTGTATAGTGAACGTAACTACCTGTTGGCAAAGTAGTGCGTGTTTTCACCCTCGAGCCCACCCACTTGCAGACTCAAATGCACGCCTTTGATTTATGACTGATAGCAAACCTCCGTCAATAGACCCTGCTCACATGATTGCCATTTATAATCTTATTCCCCAAATCTGTTATATATATTGCAAGCTGTTGATAAGAAAGGTACCAGACTGTTTTCAATTTCAAACTTTCCTTTCAATAATTTTCAGAGTCTGGCAAGGTATATTTCTGTTTGTTCAATCATGAATTTAAATTATTTTCAGAGTGTATATATGCAAATTTGTCATGAAATTTCATTTTATCCCTTTCATTTCTAGTCAGAACATTCCAAGTGCAGGGTTACCCTCGCTTTTAAATTCAATATGGCGGCGCCGTGAATAAGGTCTTTGTCCGGCCGTAATACCCAATTCCAAATAGACCTGAGTAGGGTCTTCTTCAAACTCCTCAAACTATCGCGAAAATTTCTAGTAGAGAGTTAATTCATACAGGCTTCCAAATGAAAACGAAAATGGAATTTAATGCTCCTCGCTTCACAACTCAATCCCTCGACTTGTTTGATACCTTTTTTCCTCAGGCTGGTGTGCTTCGTTTGGCGACCGAGACAGATGGGTTCAGGTTGACTTCGGAAGCAGTGTTTCCCTGACAGGAGTAAAGTCTTGGGGCGTAGAGTATTCAGAGGTCCAAACCTACCAGGTATTATTTGGCAACGATAACATCGCCTGGACTGAAGTGCGAAACGGGGCCGGCCCGGACTCTAAAACAACCGTAAGTGAACACGATGCACCTGTTGTCATGAGGTATACCGTCACGCAGTATTGTGTTAGGTGCATGTTAATGACTTGGCCACGCAAACGAACCATCACAATGTGCCCTCTGCCTGCAAGACGGGTTGCACTATTGCATAGAATCCAACGATGAACAATCTAGCATTTAAACCAAGACAGAGGTATACTTGAACTCGAGCTATCAATACAGAGCTTAAGCACCTTGTCAATTCAAGAGACGATCATTTGGGCTGTATATCGTTCAAACCAAATTTACGAGTATCCCCTTGCAGATACCAAGTGGCTTTCAGTGAGCCAACCATGGGCGTAAGTCCCAGGGTGTGTGTATATATTCCCCTCCTTTTGGAGGGAGAGGGCTATCGTATCCCCTTTTGGGGTTGAACCAAAAATAAAAGCAGATTGTGAAGAATCTTTCGGACATCTAGAAAACTACTAAAATGTACTCAATATCACTCGACCAAAGTGAAGCAATTTCAAAAGCCATAAATATGCAATTCTGGATATATATATTACAGAGTCTTATGGTGTCACCCCCCCCACCCTTTTGTCAATTTTTCATGGCCGGGCGAGTCATATCCCCCACCTTTCCCCGTCCTCACCCCTCCTCAATTTCCGCCATACGCCACTGGAGCCAACAACCTACAAAGTGATTGGAATCTAATGGGTTGAACCATAATGGATATTTCTGTTTTAAGACATATTTATTTGCCGATGCTAATCTCTCTATTTTGAATAATATCCCAAAGCCGGACGAGCTAGAATTGGCACTGGAGGTTTAGAGAGTATAGTCCTCGACTTGTTAAAAGTCCTAAAAGATGAATCGTTGGAAGATTGGCATTTCCCCACATTTTTATTTTTACCTATTTTTCTGAAGTCACTTTGGCGCAAAGCACTTTTTTCCACAAGGGGAGGGAAGGAACTCTTTCAAATCGTCGCTCCCTTGCCACAGTAAAAGAAGTCACGTGTCTTTCCTTTTGGCAGTTCCCCGGTCGACCATATGAAGAGGGAATAACGACCTCCCACTTTCCGACGGCTGTTCACACAAGGTACATCCGCATTCGTCTGGTGGAGTTGGCCGGCAGCATGGCTTGCTTTCGATTTGAACTGCTCGGGTGTCGCTCAGATTCCCCTTCAAATAAATCAAAATAAAAATCTCTTTCGTTTTTTTTTGCTGTGAATTGCTAATTGCACCATGAATGTTGAGTGCCAATTGTAAGTAGAATTGTAGAATTGTCATGTAATACATGAAAATTTGATAGTAATTTGCAACTTTAAGATGATAAACACGTTTTCGTGTGAAAACTGCATATCGTCGTCCCAACGTTTTGTTCATATCGAAAGGAATCTGTTAAAGAGTAAAAAGTAAAAACAAAAGTTGTGATGAAACTGCAGTTTTAAAATCAGGAAATCCAGTTCAATTGTGTGTAAGATCATGGGAACACTTTTTAGTGTTTAAACTATTACAAGAGTGCCGGACTTTCCTTTCAGACCCTTGTCGACCACTCTCAGTTTGCATAAAGATTGTATGGGCAACCAAAGTTTGCAGAAAAAAATCGACCTTTGGCTCATATTCGTTCAAGTGTACATTTGTCTCATTAATTTTAAAGTGTTTTTCTTCATGATTCAAGGGTATGTAAGGCTGATGTCATGTAATTATAGAAGTAATTAAGTCTTTCATTTTAAAAATACTATGTTTTAGCTTAAAGAATGTTCGAAGACAGCCTGCGCGCCATGTCTGGCTTGTTCTGAGATGAAAAAAGCGGTCTAAAACATTTCAAATCAACGTAACATAGCCAGAAGCACTGGTGGCGGACGCGAGCCGGGGGCCGGTGGCCAGGGGCCAGGGAGGGGGGGAGGGTAAGTAGCCCCCTACTTTTTGACTGGGAGCCTGCTCCCCCCCCCCACTTTTTCAGGTCCTATAATTGGGTGGGGCTTAATGGATCAGCCTATAAATGGCTAATGCCTAATGGCCCCCCTCCCCTTTGAAAATCGTTGCGCCGCCAGTGACTAAACGATTTACAGTATACTGTCAGACCGTGTACGAAAGGACTGCCCTGCAGGGTTGACATTTTTGCATGAACCAACGCCCGACTTAAGAGTAGCATTATGAGTGCGAACTTGATGTCGAAACGCAGAGCCGAATTCGGTGTGGAACACTGCCCTCAACGTCCACATTGGTGTCACCAAAAGATTTGGATTTCTCGCCGCGCCCTGTGAAAGCCATCGATGATGTGTGCACTGCATAACCAAAGGTTTCATATACCAAATTGTCACACACACAGATTCATATGCTTGTTGAATCTCTGCTTTGCAATGTTGTATTATAATATTACCACAGTAGTTCATCACAGGGAAAATAGAATCATATTGTGACAGATTCAATTAGTAAATGCATTTTTGAAACATACCGGGTAGATTTCTTATTTTAAATAAAGAATGTCTAGATAGAAGGATTCCTTGTCTTCGTGGAGCTGTGGTTGTAATACAGGCAGTAAAATGCCATCACAGTATCACTGCTAAACAAAGGAAAATCATTTCAAGTCTGTTAATATTATTTTATACCGCGTTTGAAATCTGAATCGGGACCATTTATTCTGACTTATCGGTGAAATTCAGTGAGTAAAACAGAACCGAAACGAACTGAACAGGAACGAACCGACCGAAACGAACAAAACGTTGCTAGGGAATAAAAGTACTTGTAAAATATCTGAAAGATTCGGACCGTGTAAAGGGTCACTCTATGGGAATTTCATAGAATTATACACACAATCACACTGTAAGTAAAAACAGGTGTATTTAGTGTCCCCATTAAAATTCGTCGTTTGCTTGTAGAACATGGAGACACATTGATATAGCTTTCAGTTTTGAAGATAAATATACTTGGAGAATAAATGGTATTGGACAGTCATTAATTTACTCTGAGACTTCTTGATACTGAAATTTTTTTTAAGCAATCGCGACTAACTATCGCAACTGTTTCAACTGTTTTTAAATATTCCAACTGTTCTTCACGGCTGGCCTGGTTTCTCAACGCCCTGAACCAATTTCATGTATTTCTGTTGGCTGTGACTGATCGTTGTACATACGATTTACCACTTAATCGACCAAGCTTTAGATCAAGTCCCTTACAAGTTGGAAAAAAATGGATACGAAAAGTCATGAGGCAAACATAAATGTTCTGTATACCCGCAAGTGTTGGGTCATGCAAAGGTCCTCCCCACGCTTGATGCAATTCCCCGTGCAATTGGCATGGAGGCTCGACATTCTTAACAAGAAGCACAAACGATGTAAGAGGAAATTTCAATGGCCGTCCTGTGCTTTGGGCGTGCGATCAAGATCCACTAAACCCCACTTCTATTGTGAAAACTACTGAACTGTGTTTTACATTGTAAAATGCCCTGGGCTGTAACTGCTGGCAGGACAGCATAGATGACCGAAACAGCACAACCATACGTCGTCTGATCGGGTCCAAGATTCACCCTTGTAATGACAAAGAGCGTCTTTACAACCGTGCCGTGTTTTAAAAAAAATCAGTGTGGCACCGCAAAGTTATTTGGGGGTGTTGAAATCCGCCCTCCCCCTGCTGTGAGATGGGCCAAAATAAGCTGGCTCCTTGAGGGTTTAACCACCTCCATGGTTAAAAGTTTCTCACCATTTTGTCGACCAAGGTTTAGACATACCGACATCTACCTTGGGGAAAATAAATTAAGTCCCTAAAGTTATAAAAAATAGCCCTGAACTATGACGTTCAACGTTAAAATTTATTCCCGGTATACAGATATCTCTATTCCTAATATCTCTATTCCTAATAGAGATATCTCTATCAGGAATGGAGATATCTCTATTAAAAATAAACGTATCTCTATACGCGGATTAAATTCTAATTTTGCACGCCATACTAAACAGCACAACAGACGACTCTGCAACTTAATGGAATTGAGCAGCAGTAGTGTCGCCCTACTGAAGCACCATTTCTTTTCCTTTATGGGGCAACATTTTGAAAAGGTCCACACTTATGCGTAGCTCTATTAAACTGTTGTCCCAACCCACAAAAATGACATAAATTCTGCCCCCCCGACCTAAAATGAAGGGTAACAACAAGGGAAACGCTCAGCTCATTTAAGGAGAAACCACAAAAAAGTAGAAATCTTTCCCTTTTGAGTCGTTTTCCAGACGCAACCGCGTCCTCCCCTCTACTATTGCCCATTGTACAAGAGAACGAAACATTTTTACTAATGCTTTTAGCCACATGAAGCAAACTATGGGACAGAGAGAACCCCCCCCCTGCCTTTGTGTTGGTCATTGTTATACTGGTATCTCAGGAATTCTTCTCAGACATCAAGGGGAAGTGACAATAGGCTGGAGTGTGTATAGGGATTGGACTTGTTGGGGGAGGTACCCCTCTGTCCCATTTCGTGCCTGGTATGCTTCTAGCCGTCATAAATTCAATCCATTGTCCACCATTGGCTAGCTGTATAGTGTAGTGTAGTGCACACTAGCTACACACGTCAAAGCTTTCTTCTGATCCAAGCCGTTAATTGTACAACCGTCTTCGGCTCGGTGCACAACTTTTTTTTTCCACGTAAACGGTCATGCATTTCAACTTGCACACAGAGACGTTTAGTCTGCACCATTAATGAATCACGGGGTGCTCACACCGTCTTTCTTACACAAGTCCGGAGGGATTTAATCAAATGGAAGTTGGTTGCGGAAATATGTTCGATTCAGCAAGTTATCAAATGCTGTCGATGTGACTACACGGAGTTCGGGACATTTTACATCACCGACAAGAAATTTGGTAAGAGGCTAATTTGGGAACCACACTTCACTCGCTCTTCGAGTAACAGTAAAATCACGTTTACAACGTTGGAATTACATACTCATCGAAAACCCTCGGCCACTATAGGAATTCATTTCGTTTGGAAAATACATGCATTTAGAATATCATCTAGGAACTATTAATAGGTAAGTTGCTAAAACTATCAATATGTTCGGTAAAGTTAGCAATAAGTTATTTTAAAAACACAAGACAAGTGATGAATTAAGTTATACGTTGTAATAATTCTTTGTAAATAACCGCGATTCCCATCAAGTCAATTTAGTCTGTCCCTTTTTTTATAGAATGTACAATTTACAGTATGATTCTTTAGAATTATCGACATTTTCCGGATAGGGTGACGTTTTGCGAGTAATAGTAAGCATGCCAACACGTGTAGGGTCAGGCAAAGGGCGCCCACGTCGAAGCC